TACAGTGCAGTCTAGTGGCTGTGTCTCAACTAATTATGTACAAGACTTTGACATAGCTGAGTGGTGGGGCGCGCTTTCAGGACAAGTGAGTGTTTTTTGGTGGCGCGGTGCAGGGCGAGCGTGATACGGGGCAGGACGCTCCGTGCATACTTTGTGTCGATTCGGACTTAGACAACTTCTTTATGTGCCAGAAGGCGTGACCGGATTTAGGCGTGAGTGATCGTGTATCGTAGTTTCTCGTGCGAATTGTTCCGCGCTCGTTGCGTGACTCTATTGTCACCCTCTGTTGGTATTGTCAACTGACACATTGTGCGTATCCCAAACAACCTCAGCTTTTATTCCCTAACATGCCTGATCAATAAGTGCTGCAGGCAATATCGACAATAACGGTGATAAGTTTGCGTACGAGTTCGCGTCTGTTGTGTTGACACAAAGACATGCAGCTATCTCATGGCTCTTTCTGTCAGTTCTTCGCCTGTTACCTTCTGTGTCTGACATATTTTCATGTTGGCCTTCTGCCGATTGTACCCTATTGTCTTTCGCAACGGTCGATAGGTGATACTTCCGTTACAACCTCTTTGGTGAGTTTCTCTGTTACACGGAACCGCGTGCCCCCTCGCTTTGCTCTGTGCTCTTTGCTATTTGCTTTCAGTACATTTGGCCGTCTGTACACTCATCACTCAGCGTTCGTTCGTCGCAGCGACGTGTGTATCACCTCCTCTCTTCTTGTGCGCGAATAATCGTCGTTACATCTGATTATGGATCCTACATGGTTCTCCCGCGTACGCGACCCGGTAGTTGTTGATCTCTCTGCGCACAGCCTTACACACGTTCACAACTTGTCCTCGCTACTCAGTGACATTCACCGTCTTCAGTGCGGACAACATTCTCATTCAGCTCGAGTACCATATTCTCTCTACACAGCTCGTCTGTTTCGCCGCATGAACGCGTGTCAGGCTATATGCCAAGCTTGTGTCCGATGCACCTCAGTCGCTAGTATACTTGTGGTACTCACCGATGGGAATGTTTCGTGTGATCCACTTATGTATCTTGCACGAGTCATAGTCACTACTTACAGGGTATATGTTTGGCTCACACAACACGAAACATTTTAAACAACACGCTGCTCTGTGATATGACTGTTAAATCACTTAAACTATCAAGTAAAATGCCAACAGCAATTCGCAACCTCCATCGTGTACACTGGAACTCATTTAACAAATTTATCAGTGCCATGAACTGGAACACGTCATTCCTAACTCGCAACCCTACTGTGGCTACAAATGAGTTTATGAACAATATGGCCCTTGGTAGGGAGCAACTGGCACCACCATATGGAGAAATACCCATGAACATACTAGTGAAAGCAAGCTTCTGTACAAAGTCACAAACAAACTGAAGATATCAAAAGAAAATTGCGAAGAAATTTATTTTTCGATAAATCGCTTCAGGCAATTAAAATTATGAGCTTTATTATCATTTTCATAGTAGCTACTGCTAGCAACGCGAAACAAACTCATGAATGCTGCGATCAGACAGACGGTGAAAATGTAGGTCTATTTGAACCCACTACCGTTAACCATTATGCGAGAAGTCGGGTGATCAGGCTAGGGCAACGGTAGGGTTAAATTCTGCATAAGTGCATGCTGTTTACACGGTTCCGGCTCCAGTGGCTTGATTGCAATTGCTTCTTCTGCTGTGGCCAGTAAGCGCTTCTTGAGTCCTTTTGTGCAGCATTTTGCTACTACATACACAAGTTTGAACACCTCTTTCGTTTGAATGTTATGTCCACTATCTACTAGGTTTTCTAGGATGGCGTTATCGATGTTTCTAGTGGTACCACGCTGTAATGAGTCTGGACAGTGTTCCGCTATCCGCTTTGACAGACGTCTGGTTGTGTGTCCCGGGTATCTCGCACCACAGATGCAAGTGAGCTGGTATAGGACATAGGATTTGGACTGGGCCGGAATTCCGTCTTTTAGGCGGTTAGTGATGAGTGGAACGGTTTCGGCGTGAATGCGGACTCTGGCGGCCGGGTACGTTTGGTTTAGCGCGGAAGTCAATTACTTAGTCAAGAGTTCGAACTGTATGTCTCTTTTGAAAGGCACTGCGAGAAAAATATATTTCCTTCTCACGGACATTTTCGGCTCAGGGTCAGCTCGGAGCTGGGAATGCTTTTTGATGAAAGTAGTCGAGTATCGGTTGCTTTCCAATGCACTGAGCATGAAAATATTTCAGCTTCCATGGTCTCAGGGCTGCAACGCCTTGTAGCCTGATAATTCAGGCAACGTACCAAGTTTTGTTTGCACTTTATCTGTACGAAACTGTGGAAGTGCTTGTACTGACCTACCCAGATTGGCTTGCGGAAAACCTTTCTTTCAAGCAATCCGTCTTCTCCTCGTCGCAACAAAACATCCAGGAAAGGCAGTTTACCGTCTACTTCAATCT